GTCTGGTCTCATATCATTGATATGCTTGTATTGTTCTAAGAAAGACTTGGCTAAGTCTTTCCATGTCTTGATATGAGTTCGGCTGAGCTGGTTGTACCACCGGATAGCTGAACCGGACAGGCTCTCTTGAAAGTAGTGAATCAGGAGTTGGTCATTTCCCCATATCCTGCCATCTTCCGATAGAACATAGTGATGTGGGCTGATAGACAACTATTCCCATCGAACTTCTCAAACTCAGGGACCTTAAACTTTGGTGGAAGCACCAAATCTGGAACCAGGCTCAGCTCATTGCGTCCACTCCATAATAATCATGGTCCCCTTGAACCATCTTCATCTGATCTTCTAACATCTTGATCTTCTAACATCTTGATCTTCTCTTCCGTCTTCTTTGCCTTATCCTCCTCGTCAAAATCCGGGATATGATAGTCTTCCGGATGATTGTCAGTGTTGGTTGCGGAAGCTTGTATATTTGCACCATATATGGCTTTCCCTTTGATAGCAGATGACTCCACTTGTAATCCGGGTAAGATCCCAGGTGAGACAACCACTTGTGGGGTTGGTGGTATAGTGACTCTTTCAGATGAACCTGCCCCTGGTATACTGGCTTGTTGGAGACCCAATAACCTGGCCATAATTTTATCGACCAAGGACTCCTGGCTCTTCTTGATGGACTCTAGGGTACTTTAACTGTTCTGAGCCATCTTATCCTCCAGTTCTTTCTGCAGTTTTACCATATTCTCTTCGATTTGCATGATTCTGGCATCCATTCACCTCTTTTTCAAGCGGGTGTTTTATGGATGAAGTGTGTCCAACGCTTGAGGTGGTGTATCCATAATTTATTCCTTTATTTTGAAGCATTCTTTCGTTAGTTAATGAGAATGCAAAGAAAATAACAAAATGCAAAATATGTCTAAATGCATGATGCATGAAATGTCCGAGGCATTGATCTAAAAAATGTGCATGTTATTATGAATAATCCTTATTGGGGACAAAAGTGTTTTATCTTTTAAGAGACTAAAAATATCATGACAACTTCTGACATGCTGACTAGTCTTCTGCATTCTTCTGTCACCGATTTAATAACCTGTCGTACCACTCCGGCTTCTCTGGATGAACCATGCAAATGTTGAATTACTTTTTGTATTGGCCCAAGAAGTCTCGAATGACTGCATCTCGGGCATTTATCTTTTGTTGAGCATGTTCCCAACGAATACGTCATTGGAGCCCTCAATTGATAGGAACTATATAAAGTTCATTTGTCTGTTTCTTGAATTCGTCAGCAATGGTCTCCAATTTCAGTTATCGTTTTGCCATTGTTGTCTTTGAAGGGACTCCAAAGATCAGTAACCCTCATCTTGCCACTGCAACCTCTGTCAGTCAGTTTTTCTAAGATAGACTTTCATTGTGCTTGATGTAGACTCGATTCATTCTGAGTCCTTTATAACGCAACAGAGTGATATACTCTTCAATTGTGGTCGCCACGTCCTCGGGATTAAATGTGACACATAGTCGCCTTGTAGACTGTCCTCCATATTTTCATCCCTTGTATTACAACCCCTTTGTCCATTAATGCAGATTATTCATGTTTAACAAACACGTTTTTGGTGGATCAACACCTGTTGTTAAGATGTAAATGCTAAAAAAACAAACACAAAGGCAAAAAGTTAGTAAAATAAATAAATATAAAAAAATGCATAAATGATGAAAGAAAAAAAGAAAAGTAGAAAGACAAACAAATAACAAGGTTATGGTAAAAACATCTTAGGTTTTGAAATGTGGTTTTGGGGTAGGCTCTAATTCTCCATAGTCTCCAGATTTAGGTTCTAAAAAACGGTACCCGAGTTCTCCTTACCGGTGCCCCCTTGGGATTGCCAGACCCTTAGTCCTAAACCCATCACAGGCTTGTGTGGACTAAGTTAAACTCGAAAGGACACATTCCCTTATGCCCATACGGAGAATAAATTCACACGAAGGCATAAGGTATATGAATCCCGAAGGCTACTTGCTAGGCCCATACGGTGAATAAATTCACACGAAGGCGTCACTTTCACCTCCACTTAAAACGGGTTCGGAGCTCGGGTTTAGAGTCTTAAGTGAAAAAAACTTTGAAGGCTGAAATCATGAGAAAACGATTAGTACAACTATTTACTCGAAAATATAATTAAAAGTAAGTAAAAATGATCGAAATGTTACTTTAAAATTTTAACTTACCCTTTTCGTTAAAAAGACAACTGGAAATTACCTTAGCCTAACTCACTTACCTGTCTCCAGCGGAGTCGCCAAGCTATCGGAACCTTCTTTCGGTTAGGCTCAGAATTGGGCTTCGACTTGGATTTAATGGATTGAGAGTCGACGCCGATCGTTTATTTTATGAAAAATAAGTCGATCAGATACCTTATTTCTTACCTGATCTGCGTCTTACCAGTGATATGTCGGATTCAGGAGTCGGTTACAATCAAGGAAGGGTTAGCACCCTTGAACTGCCCTTTCGGTACTACGTAATTTCCAGTTGTCATTAAGTAAGAAAATTGTAAATTTAAATTAAAAGGTAAAATGACGATTCAAATTACTTACCTCTAATCGTTTTGAAAACATACCCTTAAAGAATAAAGAAAAGCGTTAGAAAAACAAAGGTGATGACGATAAAGTGAAAATAAAGAAAGCAAAATAAAGAAGAGAAAATAAGTAAATAACGACAAATAAAATAAAGACGAAGTGGAAATGAAATGTACACAAAAGTTTTAAAAAAATAATATTAAAAAATACAAAGAATATATACATATATATAATAAGTTATTAGAATTAATATAATAGGTAAAAACAATAGTTAAGAAAAATAATAGAGAAATATTATGTAAAAATAAATAAATATATACAAGTAAAGAATGAAATAAAAAACAATTAATAGATATATATATAATAATAGACGCATGAATAAAATATTAATAGTATATATATATATATATAATGATAAAATATAATAGAAAAATAAACAAACAAAGATAAATAAAAAATATATACATATATAAACTGATATATATAACATAAAAAATCAACTTAAAAAAGATTAAAATATATATATAATACAAATAATAAAAGGAAATAAATAAAAAATATCTACATAATAAATAAAGGACTAACATGAAAGAAAAGTCAAAATTGGAGCCAAATTCAGAAGCAATCAATGGAATTAAAATTGATTTGGGGCTGAAATTGAAGTTATTTTAAAACCAGGGGGACCAAATTGAAAGAAATACGAGATCGAGGGCAAAATTCGAATCATGTAAGGGATTAAAACTGATTTAGGGATTCAAATAGGGCCATTAAGAACCAATGAGGACCAAAACTATAATTTACCCATTTATTTATCAAAACACGTGGATCCCAGGGTTTATGGGTCGGGTCAGTGGGCTAAATAGGTCCAGCATAAAAGCCACTTGTTTGGCTTAATTTATCATTTTCCTCTTAAAAAAACGAAGCCCCTCCCCTCAAAACAAATGCTCTCCTCTGTTCTTCATTCTGAAGAACCAACCATTGCCTGGGTTCATGGAAACCCAGAACACGGCCAACGCCGCCTCGCCGGCCGCCGTTGAACGGCGCCGATCGTCGTTCATCGACGGCAAAATCAAAACCTTTTTTATAGTTCGAAAGCACTTTTCCCCTATTTCTCAAAAATCGAATTTTTTTTACATATAACGGGCCTCGAGAAGTAGATCTAGATTCAAAGTTTTGAAGAACTCCCCCTGTTCATCGGCTAAAAATGGTTTTTTTGTTCGATTCGAACCAAAAATGGCGGATACACACTCATGCAAGGACCACGCGAACTAGAAGGTAAGCAAAGATATACCTTTCTTTTATTTATTCTTCAAAAAAAATGCTTCGAATGCTTTTACAAACTTTTTTGAGTTTTGTGTGACTCGTGATATCTCTATGTTATTGTGTGTAATCGTGTGTGTGAAAAATCCTCTCCATAACCCTAGTCTAGTTACATCATTTTATAGTAGAGATAAGTCCTACTTTTAGGAGTTTCACTCCGAATAAAATTGCTAATGCATGATATTGGTTGCTTTGTTGTCTTCGTGGGTTGTTGGCGAGGAAAATGGCCGGTTGTGTGGGGCGAGACGTGTGGCGCGAGGGCACTTCAAGCGGCAGAGGTCATGCGGCGCTTGGGAGAAGCTTTGCTAGGGTTCTGGAAACCCTAGCTTCAATGGGTCCTGAACTGGTTCGGGCCTGGGGCGTGTAGTGGGTTGCAGCAGATGGGTAGCTAGGCCACTTGGGTCACTGTTGGGCCTGGAACATGTAAAATAATAGATTAATGATATGTAATATATGCTTATTATATATATATATATATATATATATATATATATATATATATATATATATAAATATTAAATGTAACGCATATATAATTGGATGAAATTGGGTGTCTACACTACTCATATGAAATTATTTTAAATTTAAATTATATTCAATGTATAGAGTAAAAGAATTTAGTTTAGAAAACATACAATAAAATAAATTTTAAAAAAGTTATTAGAAAATGTCACTATTGGATAATTTATATTTTTAGACCATCAAATTTAACTTTAACTTTTATCTAGGGTATGTTTGGTTCACCAAAAATAATTTTAGAAAAATAAATTTTAGAAAATGAATTAATTTTTTTTAGAAAGAAGCTTCCAAAAATATTGTTTACTATTTGGATGATGTAATGTAAAATATTTTCTGTCATTTGATAATTTTTCTTGAAGCGGATGGCATAAAAGAAGGATGATAGCAACACATTTCAGTAGAACGTGTCCAAACTGAAACCATCCCCTAAATACAAAGCTGCAATTACAATAATTCTAAGGATATAATATGTGTATAAGTTCTTTTTATTTTTATTAGTCTAGGGTATGTTTTAAAGATAACTTACATGTTCGTACCCCTATAATTCATGTTGCTTGAACTTGAGACCTAAAAGAATAATAACAATTTATTTACAACCAGATCACTTAGTTCATGTTGTGTATAAGTTCTTCATGTAGTAGAAGGGGAGGAGGAGGAGAAGCTTTGAAGGTAGAAGCATTGGGGGGCGTGAGAGGCATTTGGTTATGGTAAAGCATGGATGGGGTCTCATGGTTGTGAACACCTTCATATGTTGTTATCTCATAACTTCCATCATTTATGTCCCTTTCGATCCTCTTCTTCACATTGCATCCTCCACTTGAGCATTTATAATAATGCCTGCATAACCCAACAATATTGTCATCTCAATCATGATCAACCAACAAAACAAACACATCATATATACATACACATACACCGTTAACCTTATATTTATATAAAAGTATATTCGATGATTTGTGTAAATAATACAAGTGTACAAATCACCTTATGCCATTCAGATTTTTTCTTAAATGCTAATATCTGAATTCTATATTTAATATTTATTTAAACATTTGTAAATATGAAATTTTCATGCCAAATTGCCAATAGCAAAGCATTTATTTTGCTTTTATGTGGTCCAGAATTTAAATTTTGAGAAAAGCTGTGGAGTGGTCTTTTCAATGCTTCCATGGATGCCTCACACAGCAGCCCTCTATCCCCAATTTCATTCATAATTCATGACAAACGAGATAACATAAAACGAGTTGGCCGACCGTGCGGTATAATTTTTTTTTCTCAGCAAGAGAAATTTTATTAATAAAGCAACTACTTAGATTGCCAGCCTCGTTAAATACCTCCTTAGACCTAAATGGAAGAAACAAGTACCAATAGCTAAAAAGAAAAAAACCATGGAGACGATACAGAATGCTAATATCCAACTAACCAGACTACTCAAGCACTAAAATACTAACCCAAAGTTAGCAAACAACTCAAATTACAGACATCTAAAAGAGGAAATAACGATCTTATTATTACCACGCCTTAAACATTGATTCTCTCGATACCCCTTCTAATGCCAACCGAGCTGCCATCCCATTACCTGATCTCTCCACGTAACTTAATTTGCTCTTATCAATTTGTTTTGACAATGTATCAATTTCCAGGCAAGCATGCCATAAGTGTCATGGGCGATGTAAAGGATTTTCAATTCAATTTAGGACCAGTCTAGAGTCGAATTTCACTATAAAAAAATGCCATTCCCACCCACCTTGCCTCCAATAATACTTCCAAGGTTGTTTTGATAGCAGTGACCTTAGCATGGTTTACATCAATTCTGCAAACAGGAACAGAAAATATAACCCGAATCGTACCACAAGTTGAACGAAGAACTCCACCACAACCAGCTTTGCCCTCTTTAACCACACCATCCACACTAAAGACTTGTGATGAATTGAATTTTTAGTTGGCATCAGCCCATAGATTATGTATGTGGATTTGTGGAGTGATTGATGCCTCTTCTACTTAAACAACCAAGGCTATTGGCAAACCTAGCTACTAATTTTGGTGTGCCGTGTCATTATAACGCAGCAGCCTACAGTTAAATTATATATGGCGTAGGTTTCATTTGAATGCAAAACTATGCGCTTCAGAAGTGATAGAAAGTGAAACAAAGTTATTCTTAATTTTCTTCTTTCATATGTATTCAAATTCACTTCTTTATATTTCCTATTGATGATGTAGTTTTATACATATTAAAATTTATAATTTTTTACTCTTAAATCTCTAATATAACTTCTTAAGTTCGTATTATCTTACATAAAATCTTGTGTTTGTCCCTGATTAGATCAGATGGTTTTAACATCGTTGAACTTAAATTATTCATATCTTAATCATATGTTTACCAATATATCATGCAATTAATAAGATAAAATCAGCAAATTACCTTGGGTTGGGGCTGTTCTTGATGGACTTCTTTCCATACTTCCTCCATTTGTATCCATCATCCATCACTTCTATCCCAGATTTCATTCTAAACGCAACTCGAACCTCCGATTTGTATTTCCCCACTCCATTTTTGCATTTTCTGCAAAATTTTAATCAAAAGAAGTCAATAAATACCTTGTGGGGAGGGAATCCACTGAAGAACTTATAATATATATATCACTTGCATGTTACTATTTTTTGAGGTTGCACCACTGAATTGAGTAGCTGCAGCCATGCTTTTCTCGGACGAAGCTATACTTTGCGACATGTATGTATCATCATCGAAGATGGCGTTGTCGAGCATAAGATAATCGGAGAGCTCGAAATCTGGCATGGGATTGAGGTTTTCAGGGAAGAAGGTGCAATTAGGGTTAGAGTTAGGGTTTTGATGAGAAAAGTCCATTTCTAAGGAAAAGCTTGACTTTGGTCTATTGAGAGTGTGCAGGAAGGGAAGCTTGTTCGGCGTAGCTGCAAACCATTTTATACATTCACTAGCTGCTGCTTCGTGGACAATTCCTACAGCGATGCAAGGAAGATTCTTCAGTGGTGCCATGTGGCATGGTGACGTCACATGGATGACGTATGAACTCAGCTTTATTGGCTTAGAATATGGGACCACTAGTGCACACAGCTCGTTGCTTTTGGTTATCGGAACCGTTAGTTTTAGGAGATAAGGAATCGTTTCTAATATACCTGGACCATAAATTTTGGTCTATATTTTGCATGCCGCTTCTTGGTTGGATTAAATTGATTGCACTTCATTTTGGTCCTTCCCATTTCTAATTTTGATATGCTAAACAGCTACGTTTCATCTCTCACTCCCTCCTGTTTTCCATTATGTAAAGTGTATGCATTTTTTATTTTTTTACCTTCTTTCTGATGTACTCCTTTTAACTATTATTTTCATTTCCCTCCAATCATTTTTCATCTTATGTGCTGATATAAGTTTTGAAAGATACCCAAGATTTGCTTTATCAACCGCCATGGGGTGTGCTTAATTTGCCTTTTTGCCGCCTGGATGGTTCAATTTTCATTTCTTTATTTTGCATGTTTTCCAGATTCTTATCCAGCAGAAAGAGACAAGTTAATTTCCAAGAGAAAAACAGACTCAAAGGTAGGGGAAAAGTACCGACAATATATGTCAATCAATTACATGATTTTAATTCCCCTATATAAAGAATAATCTCCAGTCTCAGATACATGCACAGAGGCAAGTTTTACAACTCACAAATTTGTTTGTTGTTATCCTGTACAGAGATTTAAATCGCGATTATAGTTGAGTACTTTTTGATTGAGTTGTGTTTATCGCGATTACGAATATAATAACTATTATTGCAGTGATTACAAATATCATGATCATACAATGACGGTTGGAGAAGACATCCCTACAGCTATATTATTTAAATCCCTGATCCAGTGTATACGAATGGGGCAACTTATACAACAAAAGGATTGTAAACTTATCGGAGTCAATAGGTGAGAAATGATAATTTATTGTCTCTAACACGTGTGTGTCATTAGGACATCTTTTTCTCGAGCAAAACTTCCAAGAAACACAGTGACATTAATGACTCTTTCATAAAATCCTCTCCTTGAAGGTTCAAACTATGTAAATAGACGGGCCAGAACGACATTTGTGAAGAAAGAAGAAAAATGATTGATTAGGTTTTTTTTTCTCAAATAACCAAAAAATGTCCTTTCATTAAAATAAACCGAATCCATACACAAAGCCCATACGTATTAAGGCCCAGAACTTGGATCTGATTGTCTAATTCACTTACATATATATAAGAATTTAAAAAGTTAAATATAAAAAAAATAAATATGAAATAATATTTTAATATAGTTTTATAAAATTAAAGAGTTTCACAGTAATTAACATATCCCAAAAAAAAAATAGTTAGACATGATTTTAAGATGAAAAAAAAACACAAAATGCACTTCAAAGCAAGAAGAAAAGCAGCAAATCAAGGGCTACTAATACTTGTTCAGTACTTAGTAGTTAGCTTGAAAGTTTCAACTAGGATCATTTGTAAGCTCTTCCACAAAGGCTTGAATGTTTTTATATGAAGACCCACCTTTTTGGACGGCTTCTTTTGCCAAATCCTTCCATTTCATGGCGTTCTTTCTAATTTCTTCACTTCCCATCACCATTTCCAGGCATCTTTTTATCTCGTAACCTTCAACTATTCCAACTCCATTCTCTGTCAGCCGTACACCTGTATTCCACACATCTCGGACAAGCTTGGAGTTTGTCCCTTGATCCACCCATTGTGGAAATGTCACCATTGGAACCCCTGAAACCAAGCTTTCAAATGTTGAGTTCCATCCACAGTGTGTCAGAAAACACCCAACAGAGGGATGGGAAAGAACTTCCACTTGTGAGCACCATGGCACTATCATCCCTTGCTTTTCCAATTCCCTTTGGCTACTCAATCCTTCCTTTTCTTCTCCACCACTTTCCCTTATCACCCATAGAAATGGACGGCCAGCTTCAAGCAATCCCTTGGCAAGTTCTTCCATCTGTGCTTTCGCCAACGTGGAAAGGCTTCCAAATGACACATAAATGACTGATCTTTCAGGCTTTGTGCTGAGCCATTCCATTTCCCTACGCTCTTTTGAAGCCTCGAAAGCAGATGGCATTAGTGGTCCGACGCCGATCAAATTGTAGCAATTTTCAGCAGCTTTTATAGCCTGGGGTTCTAATAGATCGAATGTGTTCACAAGAACTCTTGGCTTGGTTTGTTGGTCAAGAACTTGTACATGTTCTTTGAATGTTTGGAGTGGTACAACGTGTGGAGTTGGTGGAATGAAAAACGAAGGCAAATCGCGGCGAGAAAGTGGTGGCAACCCGGGCATTTTCACCGAAAACGTGGGGTCATCGATGTTCTTCGTAATCATCTCTTCGTACCCCTTGAAGTAGTGATAAAAGATGTTCAAGAGACTAGCAGGTTGGAACCAGAGGAGCGTGGACGGGATGTTAAACTCACGCGCCACCGTTGCCACCCAAGGAAGAAGAGTACAGTAAACGATGGAAGTAAAGAGGGTGCCCTGATCAGCAAGAAACTCTCTTAAGGATTGAGTACCGTGACTCTTAGTCTCTGACAAGTAACGGTTGATATCACCGGTGAGTTGAAAGACACTTTCGTTACCATCTGAAAAATAGGCGTAGGACAAGCCTTGGGGAGCGGGCGTTTTGGCCATTTGGTGCATGGTGGAGGATGCCGTCATGAAGGTGACGTGGACGCCGTTGTTGATGAGTGTTTTTGCGAATTGAAGGGAAGGGTTAATGTGGCCTTGAGAAGCGAATGTTACTAAGAGGACTTGGGGTCGTGGGTGAGTCATTGAAGGAAGGATCGAGCAAGAGATCAATAAGTTTTCTGGTTAGTAGACAGTTATGGGAATATATATATATATACAAAAAAATCTTTTTATTTTTTATTATTAATCTCAACCTTCTATTTTTATTTATTAAAGGATTTTAAATTTTTCTTAAAATTAAAAGAATTTTACATATATATATATATATATATATATATATATATATATATATATATATATATTACATCAAACGTAAAAATTTTAATTTTTATAATATCATTGAATTGAATGAATAAAATTAGACGATTAAAATTTTCTTTAGTTAATATCTTCTTATCTCTTATTGTATCTCAACCATCTATTTATATTCATCTAACTATTTTAAATATACGTAAAATTAAAAAAAAATTGAAATTAGACGATTGAAATTATCTTATTATTTTATTTAGTTAACATCTTTTCATCTTTTGTTGTATCTCAAATATCTATTTATATTAATCCAACGATTTTAAATATGTGTAATTTCTTTAAAAAAAATTTACGCTATATGGTTGGATCATATCTGTGTATATTTGAAAGGCTGCCAAGGTTTTTTATTCATGAAAATTTGGAGTATAAAATGTGACGTTTGCGGTGACGTCCAGTTCAATTAATGTTAAAATGGCAATAAATTATGAAAAGAAGCTTTTGTAAATTGGATTATGCATCTCATCCGTCCCCTCGTATTTTTGAAATTTGAGGTTACGGGGTTTACAATAGGTTAGTTTAGTAAAATAAGATATTAGATGTTTTAAGTTAAATTAAATGTTCGAATCTTAACGTTTGTTAATAGAGTAAACTGAATTGAAAGGGTTGTCATTGTCTTTGCAGTATTCGATCTGAATTAGTCGATTGATAAATCAAAAATTGATGATTATACCAAAAAAAAAAAAAAATTCTTTTAAACCAATTTTTAATTAGAATAAAATGTTAAATTTTAGATGTTATTAGCAACGGAAGGGAAGCTTTAGCAACAGATGAGTAGGTGTTGTGATTAGGGATGGGGCTGCTAAGGATTTTTTATTTGTGTGTGTGTGTGGGTGAGGGGTTATAATGAAAAGGGAGAAGAATGAGTATAAATATAATAATCATAGGAATGCTTTTGCAATGAATAAATTTTGCAAGTAAAATAAGGGACGAGTCTGCTAAAGATTTTTTATACTACTATTTTATTATTAATATGGGGTAAGTATAAGGTAGTATCTGTTCAAAGATAACTCTTAACTTTTCGACATTAAATACTTACAGCCGTGACTTTTATGGTGCATGAACCCGAGTTCTCAAGGAATAACAACAATTCCTTTATCACGGAGGCTACTTGATTCGTACTTATACTACAACTTATAAGAGTAGAGGCGAGAAATGCTCGATTGAGGGGAGAAGATATCTCTTGAGAACCCATGTCTCTCCCAAATATGAAGTATATTTTTAGATCTAGAGGGATGTATGATACTGAGCAACAATTAATAAATGCAATTAGAGAGGTAGAGTTGAGGCAAGACGAAGAAATGCTTTATGATGCCATGGAGGGTTTAAGCATCAACGTTGTTGGAGAATGCATCAAGCCAAGGAAATATCTAGCTGGTATACGCCCATATTTTCCAGGAGAAAAGCTCAACAATTGGACTATAGAGGATCTTCCTGTAGTTTCTAGGCTTAACCTAGAGTAATACTCGGAACCAACCCTTGTGTTTGTGCCCACGAGCATCAAGGGATCTTTTGTAATGGGCAAGCATGTTGATATTACTATCTTGTTTCTAATAAAAAGATGCTTTCGTTCATTTCTCAAGTGGCAATCATTTTTCTTGCATTTCATATTTTTTCATTTTTTGCAGTTTTCTGTTCATTCCATATTTTTCTTCGTAGGAGTCCCAATATTAACAGCAGGAATATTTCTGTTACTAATCATGAGATTGTTATTGAGCGACTTTTGTGTTTAGAAGACATAAATAAGTGTTAAAACGAGGTGGATTATAAAGTTTCAAACGAATTATTAAGACTCGTGGAAAAAGAAGACAAACAAATTTCGCCTCATAAAGAAGACGAGATTGTGAATTTGGGATCTGATGAAGAGAAAAGAGAATTGAAGATTGACACAACATTATAACGCGAGGCAAGATAGAGTTTGACAAACTTATTGCAAGAATTTAAGGATATCTTTACTTGGTCCTACCAAGATATGCCAGGATTGAA